TTATCTCTTGCTTTTCAATGAATGCATGCAATGTTTCCTCAAGATTTCTTCTAGGAGGTGGAGCATAAAGAGGTGCATATCCATGAGAATTTTAGAAATTATGGTGTGCTTGAAGCAGTGGTTGTGAAGTTTATATATTGTTATTATCACTCTTCCAACTAAAATTTAGGTGATTTCTCCAACCAGTGTTGTATGTTTGTGAGTATTGGTTGTGGTTGGCCCTTTGAAAACTATTTAAAACATGAGTTTATTCATGGAGACATTTCTTAAAAAGAGGTAAGGTTGGAAAATTATTGATTGAGTATTCATTTGTTTCATATATTTGACACACAATGTTTTCAACAGATTTTAATTGATCATTTTTTTTTTCAATTCTAGTGTCTCGACTTTTCTAGCTAAAGATGCAAACTTAGCTTGGAGGTCATGATCTTTTCTAAGGTTTTACATACCTCCACTAGATGTATGAGGTTAAGTTTTACTCGGTGTCTCATAAGTACTCGCAGTATCCCAATTTTGAGCATTTTCAGCTAAGTCTAAGTACTCCATTGCTTTATCAGGGTCTTTATCTTCAAAAGTTCCATTGTACATTAATTCAACCATTTGCCTATCTCTAGGTGTTAACCCTTTATAAAAATATGAAACCAATATTCATGTTTAAAAACCATGATAAGGGCAAGTATTAAGTAAGTCTCAATACTTATCCTAACATTGGTAAAATGTTTCTCCTGGTTTTTTAGTGAAAGTGGTGATTTTTCTTTTGAAAAAATTTGTTCTATAAGATAAGAAAAACTTTAAAAACTACTGTTACATTTCATCTCAAGCACGAATGGATCCTAGTTTTAAATTTTATAGCCATGTTTTAGCTTTATCTTTTAATAAAAAAGAAAAAAAAGTTTTCATCTGATGGTGTTCATGCTACAATTTAAGTTATTATAGGTGTTGCAGACCTCTTCAAATTCCTTTAAATGCAAGTATGAATTTTCTAAGTCTAAACCATGAAAAGAAAGTAAAAGTTGAATAATGTTTGGCTTAAAATTAAAATGAGATGCATCAAGAGGAAAAACTATGCGTGACAGTATAGTTGTTCTTGTGAGATTGATGTAGTCTCTAAGTGTTCTAACACAGTTATTCTCATTATTCTTATTATGAAATGATTGATTATCTTCTTAGGTCATATTTTCTGAAAATGATGAGGATACCCTACAAAGTCTATCATTTAATGTACGTGACCACATATTATCTTCATGTGGTCTCTAAGTGTTCTAACACGGTTATTCTCATTATTGTCATATTTTTTAGTTCAAAAGCCTTGGTTTAGAAGTAGATATTAACTAAAATGGTATTGCTGGAATATTAGGAGACATATTATATATATCCTAATTGCACAAGTTATGAGCAATAAAGCTTTAAGGACAAATTTCAATAAGTAAGTACATTTCTTGTTTTAATTTAAGCGTAGTTGATTTAAGCTTTTTTGTTATGAGTTTATAGAATTAAACATATATAAACTCTAGTTTTTCTTAAGACATCTTTTATTTAGCATACCTTTGTAATGATAAACTACCAATCCATGCTACTTATTTTTTTAACTACAATTTTGTTATGATAAACTAAGCATATTTGCACACTAGTCTAATATATTTACTAACTTCGATCTACAATCATATATATATATATATATTAGACTTTGTTTGGTCTATCATGTTGGAAAAATTATGATATTAGTCATATAGATTGATTTCAATACTATATGTTAGTTTGCTTATAGTTTTATGTTTTTTATTTTCTTTATTTAATTTTAGAACTTTTTTATATATCTCTTTTTTAAAGTTATAATTTATCTTCTAAAATTGTAATTCATGCAATTTATTTGAATCTCTTTGAGTTGTTGCATGATATATTTTATGAACTAAGCTTTTATAAACTATGTTTATATCTTTTTTTAGTTTATACATGTTACTTGCAAACTTGTTAGTATAATCATGCATTTTATCATTAATGTTTAACATAATGTTTTGACATAATGCATATTTAATTTGAACTATAATAAACGAAAGTGTTTATGTTTATCTTGTATAATTTAAATATTTTTATTTATCAACTTGCGTAATTTAAAGTTTTATATTATTTTACTTATTTGTTATGGAGCCAAAATATTTATTTATAAGTATTATTAGCTATTGTTTTTATAACTTATATCATGTTTTTAACTTGAGAATTGGTATTTTCAACCAATATTGCATTGGCAAGTACTACTTTAGTAGTAAGGATTCTATCATCATTTTTATAATGCATAATGAAAACTTGAAAAGTTCAATGGATTGAACTTTAAATGGTGACAACATAAAATGTTGATTAATGTGCTCACCTCGAACTTGGTTAAATTCTTGTAGAAAAAATGTTAAAGTTGTCAAATAATAAATTTAATTTTATTATTATGTTAGCTTTGGATTTATAGAATCATAGTGAATTCACGCGTTAAAAAAATTACATTTTGAATTGATTAAATAATATATAACATGATATGTATAGTTCAATTAAGAGTGTGGAGGCTTTTTGTAAAGCTTTTAACATAAAGCTTAAGGTTGAAATTGTCGTTATGGAAAGGTTCATAATGGCCAAAAATCTAAATCTAAAAATGACATCAATAATATATGGTCAGACTTGTTCATATATACAACATCATACACGTATATATTATTGTTTACGTATACAAAAAGTTAGTGTAATGAATAAATATGATCCAATAAATTTTGTCTAAGAAGATTGAATTTTAAGTGGGACCGTTTTGTTACCTCTCCAACTTGTCTTATAACTTACTTAGTAAAAGTATTATAAGTGAAATGAACAAAATAATGCTCAACAAAGCTATCCAAAACAAGAAATGAGTGTTGAAGCTAATATCAATAAGGTTGATTACCTCATTGATGAAGTTTTAGAAATGAATATACTTGTTTTTAAAGTCAACCTGATTATACAATTCTGAGCAGTGGTATGTTGATATTGGTGCTACAAAACATATATGCGTTGAGAAGAGAAAGTTTTCTTCTTAGAAAGAAATGGATGGAGAAAACTTATACATGGAAAACTCATCAACCTTCAAGGTACTAAATGTTTAAAAAAAAAAAGCAAATTGAATATGACATCTAGAAAGCTCTTCACCCTCAACAATGTATAGCATATTGCTATCATTAGGAAGAACTTAATGTCTGACTCATTGTTGAGCAAAAATAATTTTAAAATAATGTTTGAGAGTGATACATTTATACTCTTTAAAAATGATATGTTTATGAAAAAAATGAATCATTATGATAATCACTTTTAAATGAATGAATGACCATTGATAAGAATAATATCAAGATTCTCTTTTTCTTATTTACTTGAGTTAACATGACAGGTTAGGTTATAATATTATGCAAATGTTAATAAAACATGAATTATTACCAAGTATGATTTTTAAGAAAAATTATAAGTGTTAAATTTGCATAGAATCAAAATTCATAAAACTTTATTTTCAAATAATTAAAAGGTTAGTAAACCTTTAGACCTAATTCACTCAAATATTAGTGATTTAAAGTTCGTGCAAACTAGAGGCGACAAAAAAAAAATTATATTACTTTTACAAATGATTACACAAGGCATTGTTATATCTATTTGCTTAGAAGTAATAATGAAACTCTTGAAATGTTTAAACATTATAAAAATGAAAAGGAAACTTAACAAATAGATAAAGGTAATAAGAAGTGATAAAGGTGGAGAATAAGAAGCACTATTTGGTGAATTATATTTCCAAGATGGTATTATCCTCCAAACTACTACTTTTTATTTCCCGAAATAAAATAGCATTGCAGAACATAAAAATTGAACATTAAAAAAAATAATGAATGTCATCTTGATAAGTTGGAAAGCATCTTAAAACTTGTGGAGAGGGGATAATTATATACTTAACAAATTACCTGATAAAAAACTAGATAAGATACCATATGAATTGTAAAAAGGTAGAATACCTTCTTACAAGTAACTCAAAGTGTAGAGATTTCTTGTAAAACTAACAATATTTGATTATAAAAAGGTTAAGATATGATTTAAGATTGTAGATTATATGTTTATTGGATATACATCTAATAATAATGCATATTAATTTCCTGCACACAAATCAAATATTATCACCGAGATTATAAACACCTTGAGGCATTAGATAAACAACATTGAATATAAGTTCAATTAACACAAGTTCACTCCAAAAGAATAATCATATGTTCTTCACTCTCCTTTCTTCATTATTTCTCTTTAATAATTTATTAACTTAAACATTAGATGTTCACCTGTTCCAACTTCAACCCAAACCAAGTCAGCCCAAATTAAAATATGAAGTTTTCACAACTTCACCGCCTTCTAATCTAAAAGAACATATTAAGAAATGTATGTTTAATTGACAATTGACGAAATTAACACCATAAAATTAATGGTCATAGGCATGTGATGATAAAAGAAAGCATCCTTAATTAAATTAATAAACTATTTTCTATAAGGAATCTAAGATTTTTAATGAGTTTATCATAAAATTGAAACCATAATAGTTCTCCGAGGTTAAAAAAATAAAAAACCGTCGAGATTCTTATGCTATTGAGCTATGTCTCATTGCTACATTGTCGGTAGGACTTTATACGGAAGAAGGGACCCGTGGGGAAAGAAAGAAGAGGCGGCGTCCATCGACAGCTTCTTCATGAAAAGTATATAAAACATTTGTATTCATTGAAACTTCAATCGATATCTTCGTTTTCGTTATTAGAAATAATCTGCTCTCACCACTTGCATCACCGTTATTGTTATCTTTGTGCCTTTTTTATTTATTTATTTTCCCGAAATGTATTTAATTGATAAAGGGACTGAGTCCGAGGAGTACAGCAACGCAGAGGAGGATGATACAATAAAGAAAGAAAAAAAAAGTCACAAAGGACAAGCCAGTTCCTTAGCTGTTCCGAGACCAAATACAGTTGCATTGAAATACAAGATTAAGCCCAACTCCTGTAAATTGCAACATCTCATAGAAAAATCGAAACACGCAATCAATTTGAATGTCAAAATAGCAAGCAATGTTTTCCATTTAAACTTTAGAAAACAAGCTTTTCACTGCCATGGCAAGTGAGGGATTGGTAAGGTTATAGCCTCCATCGATCACCAAGTTGACCCCACTCACGTACTTGGAGTCATCACTGGCTAGATATAAGGCTGCTTGTGCAACATCTTCTGGTTCCAGTACCGCTTCTTTTAAGTTGGCTGCTGATGCAACAAATTTCTCTACAGCCTCCTTTGTCATTCTCAAACCATCTGTAAGCATTGGGGTAGCAACAGCAGTGGGTGAAATACTATTAACTCTTATCCCATGTTGGCCTAAGTCCACGCTCAAGTTCTTCGCCAACCCTACAATAGCATTCTTCGATGCTGTATATGCGTGTGCCAATTCACCGTATAGAACTGATGCCACACTTGCAGTGAAGAGGATGCACCCTTTCTTAGCTGGAATCATCACCCTCGCAGCATGTTTGGCACCCAGGAATCCGCCGTAGACATTGATATTAAGGACTCTCATAAAGTCTTCATTATCAGAATTCAAGATAGATGATTTGGAGTTGCCTGAAATTCCAGCATTGTTGAACATGATGTCTAGCTTACCGTACCTGGAAACAGCTGTATCAACCGCATTTTGGACATCAGAATCGACTGTTACATTGCAGTGGACATAAGAGATGATTTCCTCAGAGCCGTATTCTTGGCAGAGAGCAAGGCCGAGATCGTCTTGAACATCCGCAATAAGGACCTTGGAACCGTGCTGAACAAATAGCCTTGCTGTGCACTCACCTATGCCACTAGCTCCACCGGTTATCAATGCCACCTTGCCTTCTAGCCTGAAATTTACAGGTAAAACTAACGATTAGAAAAAATGAAGACAGAATGAATTAATATAATGAACTGAATGTTGAATGTTGAGCTTACGACTCATTTTACCTTTTGCTGATGGGAGATGCTGAAGGATTGGAACTCATCTTTCAGCAAAATTAGTGAGAAACAAAGGATTAAAACGTAGAGATGTATTGCTCTTGTTGGAGCAGACTTGATACAGAAAGGAAAAGAAAATAAACTATTTAATTAATCTGACAGCTTAAAGAGAGAAGAGAGATGTAAATTATTTATTTATAGGGAACTCTGTTTCCAGGCCTTCCAAGCTAGCACAGATTCTCCTTTGGCAGCTCATGGTCAAACGTGACGATTATATATTTAACTCTGACGGTTCATTGTATTTGATCAACTTCATGGATCAACATCATTTCGTTTTTTTCAGAAAAATAAAATAAAGAAGTGCCTCTTATAATTCGGTGACATGCATTGCCGCTGCATGCTATATAATGCTGAGGCCTCTCATATTCAACACGTGGACATTGGAAGATTGAAGAAATTTGTCTCTTGCACTCCCTCACGCACATTAACAATGCCACCCATTTTTCAAGTAACTGATATGCAAAAATCACTTCTTTCTGTAAAACAATTTAAAATCTCATTTTACACCCCCAATAAACCTCAAAAGAGTAAAATCTTGATGATCTCTCTTTTAAAACCATAAAATTACACTTTTACTCCCAACAAATCTAAAAAAGGAAATCTTGCCTCACATAATGCCTAAATTAATAAATAGTATATATATATATATATACATACGCACATCCGGGTCATGATCCTGCTGCTATTTCTTCACTTCTTTTTCAAGGTTAGTCTTATGTTTTTCTCGGTTAATGATGATGTCCTTAGTCATGAAAAGATTTGTCAACGTAAAAAGATTTGGATTTAAAATAAAATAAAAAATCATCTCTGACATATCCTTTATAGATGAAATATATCCATTGTTCTCCCTATTTTGAGCATTAAAAATCTTTATTGAATAATAATTCAAACTAGGATTACCTCTCACATTTGGGGAAAATTTTAGAAGTTTTTAGATAATCCATGAAATTCTTCCAATGAAAAAAAAAAGAAAAATAAAGTGAATGGGATAAAAGTGAGAATGAAAAAAAAAAGACAAAAATAAAAATTTTAAAAATATTCCATATGATGGTATGAATCTAAAATCAGAGACAATTTTGATGGCAATGCATGATATAAAACTTGGAGAATTGAGATTGTGGTGAGATCAATGAAAAAATCAAGATAACAAGCCTAAAAGTTCTTTATATTTGAATAATTGATCTTATATTTTTAAGCTCTTAATAAACAATCTTTAAGCTTTATATATGTTCTTTCATATGCACAAACCTTAGATTATATTATGTGATTTAATAAGTCCTTTTTTATCAAAGATAATTTTTTTATATTGATAAATATTAGGCTTTAAAAGAAGAAGAAAAACATTTTCAAGTGAAATCATGACATGTTTGTATATTGGATATTATTTCTTAGGATATTAAATCATAGATTCTCATCGATGAATAAGCAAGATTAATATAATATAAAATAAAATATATTTATTTTTCATGCTCAAACTTGACATCTATCTAAATCATTTTTCAAAAACAATCAAATTTATAGGTTCTCTATACATGAATAATTGATCTTAAATTTTTAAGCTCTTAAACACTTTTTCAATTTTTAATATATATATTCCTAATCACATACCTTATGCAACATCATATGTTTTTGTAAGCCCTTTTTAATTAAAGATAATTAATTTATATTAATAAATGTTAGGCTCTAAGAGGAGAAGAGAATAATTTTCAAGTGAAATCATGACATGTTTGCATATTGGATATCATTATTTAAGATGTTAAATCATGGATTCTCACTGATGAATAGACAAAATCAACATAATATAAAACAAGATGTCTTTATTTTTTTATGCTAAAACTTGAAATATATCTGAGCTATTTTTCAAAAACAAATAAATTTGTAAGATAACCATCGTTTTCACAATCATAACTAACCTATTTTGTTATATTCCAACAAACATATAAGATTATATCTTAGTACTTGAATGACTTTTTTAGTTTTTGACCAAAAAATCAAAATTTTCATTTAATAAAAGTACTTTAAGATTCACATCTCAATAACTTCATTTTGAACACAATCATTAAAATTTTTAACTTTCATGAAATAAAATGTCTTACAATAAAATTTTCTCATTTGACGAGTTTGCAAAGTTCTTGATAAAAATGATAATGTTGATTCAAGTGTGCATGTGTCTTGTGATGTCCACTAGAAAAAAATTAATGTAATGGAACAATTTTATTTGTTTCAATCTATGAAAATTACAATAGCTAAATGATGATTTGAAGAACTTCATCATAAGTTCTAAATGGTTGAAAAAATAACTTCTTCATGATATTGATAAAAAAATATTAAAAAGATGAATAATTTGTCTCATGTTGTACATAGGGGCAATCTCTAGAGCAAATAAATCTTCAAACTCAAAAATCACTACCAAAAAATTCACAAATACAAACAGAAATATTGACGGAATATTTCTATTAGTAAATTGTAGTGAATTTTACTAAAAAATATTTTTTTGGTATATATCGATGGAATTATAATGGAAAAAGAAGAAATTAAAACAAAACCCAAAAATATAATGACGTGTCATTTATACTAATGGTATTAATATTTTTCATAATTAGTTCATAAACTCGTTGATAAGTTGTTCACTTCTCCCTAACACTGTTCATCATGTAAATGGTATTAATATTTTTCATAATCAGTTCATAAACTCGTTGATAAGTTGTTCGCTTCTCCCTAACACTGTTCATCATGTAAATTACAAATGAAATCATCGATGAAAATTTTTATCGGTATTTCTAGAGATCTCTAAAATTATTTACTTCTCAATTGCAATGTTAATTAATGTTCTTTACATGTAAAATCATCAATAGATTGAAAATTTGTTAGTGTTATTTGGCTGATTTTTAAAAACTTTTAATTAAATTAAAAAGTTAAATTAAATATTACAGATAGAATCATCCATGTATTGAAAAATCATTAGTGATATTAATTAATGTTCTAAAAAATATCAACATCCTTTTCTTTCTTTCTTTTCTTTTCTCTCCTCAACTCATGCTTTCTCTTTTCTTTTCTTTTCTTTTTATATTTTTTAATTAACAAACTTTATGAATTTTTTTTCTCTTCTCAACTTCACTTGCAACTACATTAAAGTAAGAGTTTTATTTTTATTCTTTTTTCATGCTTTTGTTTTTTTTGTATTATATTTGTTATTTTAATTTTTTCTGTTCTTAATAATTGTGTGAATGTTGTTATGGGATTTTTTTTCATAGGAGATAAAGTTGATTTATTTATAGGATTTTTAATTTTTTAGTAGTTGCAAACTTCATTTTTTTCATATGAAATTATTTTTAGTTGATTTTTTTTGTATTAATTATTTTTTATAAATTTATTTGAGTTGATTTTCTTCATCTTTTTTTTTTCCGAGCAACTCAATTCTGAGTATTATGGAATATTAATTTATATTATTTTAATTATTTTTTAGTTTTTTTAAATTATATTTTTAAATCATCAACAAAATTAGTATTTTTATCAGCTATATGATAAGTTTCCTGAAAAAATATTGATAGAATATTTATTTATTTTGAATTTGTAATATGTTATTAATTTTCTTGTATGTGTTCATTGATTATTAATGCAGTATTTATGTTATATTGTTGTGATTATATGATTCTTTGTTTTTCTTTGTGATATTTGTCAATTAAGAACTGGCCGAGAATAGTATGATTCTTAAAAGAATTTTATCTTTGAGAAGTGGGGTCTTCTTTTTTTTTAAAATTAAATATAAGTTGATTACGGTTATGCTTAAAAGAATTTTATCTTTGAGAAGTGGGGTCTTCATTTTTTTTAAAATTAAATATAGGTTGATTACGGTTATGTTCACAGGAAGTTGAAACTTTGATAGTTTTGAGAAAATATTAATAAAAAGTTTTTTCTAATAGAATAATCAACCAGACTGTCCAAGGCAGATAATTGTTCATTCAATAGAAGGCTGGACCAAATCAAAATATGCAAAAAGACTGACAAGTTGAATTTTATCTCTCTTTCTCTCTCCCCGAATAAATTGAAGTCAAGAGAGGATTTTTATTTTAAGATTTTTTAGGTGTTTGGAAATGTGGTGTAATTATATTTTTAAAAAATTTAAATTTTTTAATAAAAAATAATGTTTTATATATTTTGGATTGTTTTAATATATTAATCTCAAATATAACTTTTTAAAAAATAAAAAATTATTTTATTTCATCGTAATGGATAACAGATTTAATTCTCAACTTTTGTTTCCTCTTTTGACCGAATGTATATGATCAATAGCAATGATAGAGGAACTTGATTAATTTGTTTATATATATATATATATATATATATATGTATAGTGCGTGCTGTCAGATGCGAAGCAAGGTCTTCAAATGTGCGAAATTAATTCATTGAACATGGGATCAAAGTCATTTAAACGAGATCTAATGGGATAAAAAGACCTCTCAACAAAACAGAAATGAGAGCCTCTTTGATTTATTGTAATGGATATAGTTGATTAGGTTCACAAAGTTGCGACTTGTTTCTCTCAAGTGTGAAGAAATAATCCAACTCTTAGGGATACATTCAAGAATCTGGATACTGAAACATCTGGAATGTCGGGTTTTGAACGCTGAAGCCTCCATCTATAAATAAATTATGCCCGCTAATGTATCTTGCCTCATCACTGGCTAGATAAAGAGCTGCATTGGCAACATCTTCTGTCTTAAGGGTCACACCCTTCAGATTAGCAAATGAATTCATCGCAATTTCAAGCGCCTCATCATCATCCACCCCAATAAATTTCCTTGCTAAAGGAGTTGCGAGCGCGTAAGGAGATAAGCAATTAACCCTAATGCCGAACTGTCCAAGCTCAGCTGCGGCATTTCTTGTCAGTCCTAACACAGCATGTTTTGAGCAACAGTATGCATGTGAAGCTGCCGCACCAAGTAGTGAGCTTACACTAGCAGTTGAAATTATGGTGCCACTGCGTGCTGGGATCATGACGCGGGCTGCATGCTTGATGCCGAGGAAAACTCCGGTCACGTTAATCTTAAGAACACGTTCAAAATCAGCCATTTCGTTGTCGATTATGCGTGATTTATTGTCATCGGCAATGCCAGCATTGTTGAGCATTATATCTAGCTTGCCATAGGTTGAGATAGCTGTGTCCACAACATTTTTTATCTGGGCCTCTTCGGTGACATCGCAACGCACGTAGGTGGAGTTTGAAGGACCTAGGGCCTCGACAACTGAATGGCCTAATTCGTCTTGGATATCAGCAATTATTACTTTAGCTCCATGGTGAGAGAAGACTTTTGCGGTGCATTCACCAATACCACTAGCGCCGCCGGTGATTAAGGCTACCTTTCCTTGAAGCCTGCAAGCGATTTGGAAGCATTATTGGTGGACATGATACGTTCTTGGCGTGCTTAACTGCTTATTTTCTTTAAAGTAATCTTCAGATTAGATGGAATACTTCGAGTAATTAAATGCAAACTTAAACGCATTCGGTGAAATGTGAAAAGAATTGTTTGATTGATTTTTATATACTAATTTTAGATAAATTCTTAACTGAATCCACATGAATTGAGGAAAATATTTATTATTATTAAATTATTGTATTTTGTACTATGTGACTTTATTAACTCATTTTTATAAAGAAAAAAGTCAAAACAATTTCATTTTAATTTTTTTTAAAAAAATCTTAAAACAATATAGTTTTCAATTAACTTGAGCCTACCAAAAGCAATCAATCTAGTCCATCACCCAAATTAATCAATCTACTCCATCTCCCGACTTTTAAATCAAATCAGATTTAATAATTTTGATTTAATTAATTAGTGGCATCGTTGATCCATTCACAACTTGATTTGATTTTTTATAAAAAATAAAAAAAAATTATTTTAATTTTTCTCTTAAAATAACACCATTTTAAATTAACTCAGCCCTATCAAAATTAATCAATCCAGTACATCACCCAGTTCTAAATGAAACAAAATTTAATAGCTTTGGTTTAATTAATTAGTCCTGTTACAATGTAGCAATGTAATTGAACTTTTTTGAAAGTTATTATCGTTGCACCAATTAATTTCTTTTATTTAACCAGGAACTACTCCTTATTTTCTAAAAGAAACATTTGGAATATAGTTAATACCAATTTTCTATTTTCTAAAAAAATAAAATAAAAAAGATGCATTTTCTTAATGGAAAATTAATTAGTGAGCATGTCTTTCATATCTCTCCCTTAAAAAAAAAAAAACCAGGAAATATGTTTAGATGTAAATGCAAAGTATACAAAACCGAAACGAATCCTACAACTTCCTCTTTTAGTCCTAACACATATACATTCATCATGTTGCTTATTAACATGAAATTTGTAAAAAAAAAAAAAAAACATGGAAGTCAAGAATTCGGAAGGAAAAGGTTTCCAACATGGCATGAAGGGGTAAACTTGATTTGTAGCTGTAGCTGTTTAAATAAAGATAAAAAAAAAAAAAGCTAGAAGAAATTAATAAAGGAGAAGCAATTCTTTGGAAAACAGTACAAACTAGAGGAATTCCTCTGGAGTTGAGAATTGCAATGGAATACATATCGTTTTACAGCCTTCCAAGTCAAACCTAACAATTATGTTGAATATTTTTTTTCTTTTTAATGTTCTCCATTGATAAAAAATAAAAAAAGAATTCAGTGTAATAAAATTAATAGAGATATATAAAAACTAATTCGGACATTCATATTAAAAATAAAAGTAAAAAAGAAACTTTGTAAGAAAACTTCGACTTTTCGTGATTTCTTACCATCACGAAAGCAATATGAAGCACTAGCATCTTACCTTTTGGCTATGCTAGAGATAAACGCAGTGGTTGACATTGCTTCAGAAGCGCACACGCACAGGCAGCAGGGCGGAAGAAGTGAGGGAAAGAGTGGATTATGTCTATATCTATTATAAAATGCAAACAATAGCTAGCACGGGACGTGAACAAGATAGCAGAGGCTTCATTTCTTTTATAGCCAGATTGACAATTTAAAAAGATGAGATGGTGATAATAACTTGAGATTCGATAAGCACTAGCTAACAAAAATCTGTTATAATAATGGGACAAATGATTAACCCAAACAATGTCATGAAAAATGTTTAAAATTGTCAATAATTATAAGGATATAGGTCAAACGATAAATAATTTATAAAATAATACGATCCGAGTTTAATGATATTAAGAGCTCTTGTACTATTGATTTATAAAATAATTTGAGCAATTGGGTTCATATGATTTGATCTTTTAGATAATGGAGGCCCCTCCATTCCTAATCAACCAGACTTTGTATTAATTTTGGCTTTGAAAAAAATGGAGTAAGCCTTACTAAATTTTTATTGGTTTTAGTTTTAGAAAAAAACAAATTTGATAAAGAATTTGATAAAATTATATAAAAAGAATCTCTAAAGTAAATTTTCTATTTTTTATTTATATACGTAAGGAATTTTTAAAAAAAAATATTCACACTAGAAAGATTCTAAATTTTATTTTAAAATGTAAAAAAAATAAATTTAAAATTGATTAATATTTCTTCTATAAAAAATAATTAGAAAGTACTATAATGGTTATTTGGGTATTATAAATAAAAAGATGTTCTAATAATAATATTTAATGAAGAAAATAATTATAGATTTATTGATTTAACACATTGACGGAATAAAAGTATAATGTTTTCATAGGAATGATCTTTCAGTTTAATTTTTTCATGAAAGTTCTTAAGAATAAATTAATTTTAAAAAAAAAATTAATAAATCCATAAAAAATAAAAAAATTCTTATCTATCTAAAATAAAGTACAAAAATTATTCCAGTGTAAATAAATAAATCTCTAGATGTATACAAATAGAAAAGAAATTCAATTTTTTAATATTGTTTTTGGAATTGAAAAATTTCTTGATAATTTTTTTAAAAAAAGTTAATCATTTTTATATATTTTTTTAAATATTAAAACGCATTGGAACTTAAACCTTTTTCACTCCATACCTTTTAAAAAACATTGATGGTAAATTTAGTTGAATATAGACATAGAAACTATGTTGACTAACATAATAAATTACAGGGATTCAATTATCTAAATTAAGACTATAAAATTTCCTTTGCGAGAAATCGATAAATAGAAATCTCATAAACTTGTTGGATCCAAATCCTTTTTATACTTATAAAACTTATTTCGAAGCAAATGAATGAAATAGTTAGTTAAATTACTTATATTTAACTCGTAAAAGATAAATATTTGATATTATATTTGCAGACGAAGAAGATTTTCTCGTGTTTAGTAGGCTAAGAATGCAAATACTTGTTCGTAAAATAGTTTAAATCAAAAGCATCTACTACGATTGTTGGGCATTAATTAGTAATTAAGCTAATGATTCTATGGAAATTAATTAGTAATTAAGCTAATGATAGTAAGGACAGATCGTTTGAGTTTGGGATCAATGTTTTTTTAGCCTGAGAATCTTTCTTTAAAATATAAACCTCTAATTAAAAGATTATCATAGCTTTTAAGCAGGCAAAAGGACGCAAACGTATCTTATGATCTTTCCGACATGGGGGGTTGTGGAATATAAATGCATGTGCAGACATACATCTTATGTTGGCTTTAACACTTGTGCTGTTTTTCTTATCATATAAATAGAAAACAAAAATAGGATAATACAATTTCATAAGAGACAATATTGGAGAATCTTTCTCTCAAAAAATTGTGATCATTCATAATAATAATAATAAAAAATCTCCAAAAAAAAAATTAAAATGAGCCTTTTGCGTTTTATTGATATTATAGATAACTAACCTTTAGATTTAAATTTTGTAGGAATTTATGGAAACAATATTTAATGAATATCAACTGATGATCATATATGAAAGTAATGAAATGCATTGTACAAATAACATTAAAAAGAGCTAATTTAAAAATAATATAGCTCTACATTTAAAAATAATGTTTATTGAATAGATGGTGTATGTGCTCCTCCACCTGAAAAACTTAGTAGTGGCTCTCAAGAGCATTGACTATTCATCACCATCAAATAGAGCAGGACAAATAAGTATTTTTATATCTTAATTGAACAATGAAATCACCTAAATATTAATGAAAGAAAAAAAATTCGTGCAAAGAGATATTTTAGTATTTTTATTGTGTTTTTTGTATCATAGTTTAAGCTTAGGGGGTAATTTAGTATTTGATAAAATATAAAAAATAATAAATAATTAAAATACACAATGACACAATGAAAATACCCTTGAAAGCAAAAAAAAAAAAAAACTTAAGCCTAGAGTCAAGGGGCTTCTTAGTCATTTCACAACTATTTTATTGTAATTAGAAAATCAATTTAGAGACACTTTGATTTTGACTAAAATAAAAAAGAACAAGCACATACGGCGCTTTTCGGCATCCAAAAATACCTTTCTATAGTGTTGCTGGAAATGTCTTTGTGTGCTCTTTTTGTTGGTGTAATGCATATCTCTAGAGGTGGTCTAGCTTATCACAGGCAAGCCTTTCATTTTCTTTTCTTCTTTTTTTTCTTTTCCAAAAATTACAACATGGCCCTCTTGGTTGATAGTATTTTAACTTCAGTCCTTATTCTTTGTATTTTGTATTTTTGTCTTTATCTTGTTGTAAAATTTTGTTTATTTTTAATTTCATCATTTAATTCTAATTTATGAAATATTATATTTTTCAATTTGATCCTCATTCTTTCGAATTCAATTTTTTTTAGTATTTTCATTGTGTTTTTTTTTTGTTATCATAGTTTAAGCTGGGGGGCGATTTAGTATTTGATAAAATATAAAAAATAATAAATAATTAAAATACACAATGACAAAACAAAAATACATTTGAAAGAAAAAAAACTTACGCATGAGGTCAAGGGGCTTCTTAGTGATTTCATAATTATTTTGTTGTAATTAGAAAGTCAGCTTAGGGACACTTTAATATTTGACTAAATAAAAAAAGAACAAGCACGTGTGACACCTCTTGGCATCCAAAAATACATTTTTATTGTGTTGTTGGAAGCGTCGTTGTGTGCTCTTTTTTTTTTGGTGCAATGCGTGTCTCTAGTGGTGGTTCAATTTATCACAAGCGAGCCTTTCATTTTTATTTTTTATCTTGATCTTTTTGTAAAAGTTTTGTTTATTTTAATTTTCATCATTTAATTCTAATTTACAAAATATTATATTCTTCAATTTGGCCCTTATTCTTTGGATTTAAATTTGTTTCCTTAGTTCTTTTGAAAATATTTTATTGGTTTTTAATTTTATCATTTAATTCAAATTAATAGTATTATATTTTTTAATTTGGACCTTATTGTTTTGATTTTTAATTTTTTTTCTTGATAATTTTGTAAAAGTTATTATTCTTTTTAATACCATTCAATAAAAACATTATTTTTATTTTTTGTATCAATCTTGGCCCTTATTCCTTTGGACTTTTTGTCTTTTACTAAATTAACTTTTCTTTTCAATTTTACTCATTAATCAAATACAAAATATATTTTATATTTTAATTTTGATTCCTATTCTTTTAATTTATATTTTTTAATTCTTTATATAATATATTTTTTTTTTAATTTCATCCTTCAATATTTGATTGATTGAGAATTAAACTTTATGTTTTTTATCTAGATTTAGTGTTTGGGTCTATAGTCACGGGTTTGAAAAGTTAACACAATTTTTTTTCTTTTAAGAAAAAATAGCCTTAAAATAGCCTTATTCTTTTTATCGGATTATTCTAATTTTATGACCTGGGTTGAGAGTTTAGGTGGATTTCTCAACTTGGCTTAACCTAGATTATTGTGGTTACATGTTTGTTATGACTGGTTTTTTTATCTCATGTTATACCCTATTTCAACATCTAAACATCATTTTTTAGGGAAAAAAATAGTATGACCTCATAATGAAGTGTGAACACTAAGGCTAGTGTTAAACTAAATAATGATGATTGTTTTATAATTTTATTATAAAAAAGTAAAATATTCTTGAAATTGATTATCTAAAAAATAAATTCTAAAATACAAATTGATAAAGTCATGAAAACTTTCAACTAGATTGAGCTTTCTAAGGGCTACAATCTTGGACTACTAGAATGACTAGGCTTGTCCTTAGGCTAAAAGGTTGGAGGAGTGACTATCTAGAGCTTTCCTACAAAACATATCTTCTATCAAAATAGGAGTCCCTCTTATGATTAAGTTAGTAGAAGCAAAACAATGTATAGAAGAGTAAATAAAACTTGTTGTGTATGTCGAATGGTTGCTTGTGGTTCTCAAAATTGTTGTGTATGTCGAATGGTTGCTTGTGGTTCTCAAAATTGTTGTATAGTTGCATGTGGTTCTTGGAATTGTTATGTAATTGCTTGTGGTTGCTAATTGTATGATTTCTTGTTGTTGCTAAAATTATTGTATAGTTTTATGAGAGAAATAATGTACAAAAAAGTAAATAGAACTTGTTAGATTGTTAAATAGTTGTTTATGGTTCATAAAATTATTGTATTCTTATTTGTGGTTCTTAGAATTATTGTATACTTGCTTGTAGTTGCTAGAATTATTGTATGATTTTATATTGTTGCAAGAATTAAAGGTTAGGTTTGCCCAACTTATCTTAGCTTGACTTGAATGTTTATATTTACAAAACTTTGTCACAATTACTTTATAAAGCATAATGTTATAGGTACCTTATGGTGCATAGAGATACAACTTACCACCATGACATAACCAAAAGATTGATGTCTTCTCCCAAATACAGGAGTGTCGAAGTAATAAATAACCTAACAAGATTAAGGTCAAACTATAGGGAGGTTAATTATATAAATTAGAAACAACAACTATAAACAACAATAACAATA